AATAGATCATATATATATATATATATATATATATATATATATTACATTTTGATTTATTTTTATAGAATACTATGTAAGAATCACATTTACCGCATAAACTTATAAAAAATAATTTTAATATTATCGATGAAGTTTATGTTTGTACGGTACTAAGCTATTATTTTTAAATTGCATCAAATATCCGATATTCGCTCTAATAAACATGCCACCAGCCATCATATCACAACAATATGTCAGTTCATTAACAGACACTAAAATTTCATAAGATTTTACTTTTAAAGGTGAAATGTACGCCCAAAATTTTATTTATCAAAATTACTTTATCTCTTTTTACTGTTAATCCTAGTTTAATTGTACCAGTAATTTTTCCGATTCCCTGTCTTCAAATATGAAAATTAGTATTTTTCCTACTACTTCAACCCAAAAATGGCCAGTCCTCCTTCAGATTAGAGGAAAAAGAAACCATACGATGAAGGGCGAGTGTTTCAAGAAAAGATGTGAATTACTGTAATTTTGCATAAGGCTAAATGAAAAGATACATTGTTTAAATTACACCAACTCAATTCGCCACGCCAAAACAGTACAACCTAAAGGGACTTGATTAAACGAACCATCTATCTTATAATAAATATGGAGGCCCAATGTGCGTTTCAAAACTAAAGGATTTGAAGGCTAAATTGACATAGCTTCCGTTACTGCAAGCTATGAACTCAGCTGTATGATAGCCTTGAGTGATAGAGAGTGAAGGAGATTTCGTAAAGCAATGACTTATAAAAACAGCTGAAATTATATGTCCAGAGAAAGTATCGATATTCAAAGACATTTCATTAACCAAGTACACTGCTACCGAAAGGATTGATGAAATGTCACGTGATTTGAAACAGCAGTCGAAGACAGTTCTACCACATTACTGTTGACATCACTGGAATAGCACAGCTTGCAATCTTTATCAGGGCCTGTGATAATGAATTAAATATTTATGAAAAACCGATCGAACACGTCTCCATTAACGAAACTACAAGCCAGAACACCTTAGGGAGTTGAGAACGTTCTGTATGTCTACAGTTTTGATTTGAGTAAACTTACTTGCTTATCTATTTAAGGTGCTGCGAATTAACAAACATAATTGTGTTGCTGCCAAATTAGAAAGAATACTAGAAAACTCGCATCTAGATTCATCATTTGCCCATTTTCGCTGTTTCAGCAAAATGTGTGTTCGAAGTTTTTAAATTTGGATCATGTGCTTAGCTTGGTCATAAAGACAGTGAAAATTATCAGAGGACGGGCTCTGACCTACGGCCAGATCAGTCAGTTCTTGTAAGATAAAGATAATCAGTTCAATGATGTTCCATCCTACACAGAAATCCGGTGAAAAGTGCTGAAAAGATTCTGATTGTTAAAGGAATAAATAATTATGTTCTTGAAGATAAAGTATCAAATACCCAGATGAAATAAAAGCTGAAAGTTGGTTCAAAGATCTGGCTTTTACTGTGGATATTACTGCACACTTAACTGATTTTAATTTGAAAGTAAAAGATAAAAACAATCTTATCACTCAGTTGTATGATGCCATCATGTGCTTCATTACAACTCGTGGAAGCTACAGTTGTCTAATGAATATTTAGATCATTTTCCTACGTGCAAAGAGAAGAAAAACACGGCCAATAGCTTTGCTAAATATGACAGTCACCTGGAATTTTTACGAAAAATATATACACTGCGTGCTAAATTATTATCGAGATAACTTTTTTCTAATATTTCAAAAAACGTCCAATAATTTCAAACAAAATGTTCAAACAATGTTGGCAACACTGACCTGCGCAATCACGGACATTTTCGCACTGATCTGCGCAATGTAAACAAACTGGCGCCATATTTGTTATCAGCACGGTGAGTGTATATATATATATATACATATTTATTAAAGACATTTTTTATGTTTAACGTTCTTTTTTTTTTATAGATACAAGTTTTTAAGTAAATGCTCTGTTTATAATAAACAGTATTAAATAACATTTACCGGCCTGAATGTCTGAGAAATTTTCATAGAAAATATTCGTCCTTTGACAGGATTCGAACCTGCATCCTATACGGAACCGTCATTTACGCTGACGTGCTTTACCGTCTAGGCAAGGTCGAAATTACTGCTTATAAACTTCAATCTTCTATGAATCTCGTACATTCATAACTGCTCTGGCGTATCAAATGTAAACAAATGACGTCATATATTAAGAAATGGACAAAGTCCGACAATTTATTTATTAAAGACATTTTTTATGTTTAACGTTCTTTTTTTATAGATACAAGTATTTAAGTAAATGCTCTGTTTATAATAAACAGTATTAAATAACATTTACCGGCCTGAATTTACTTAAATACTTGTATCTATAAAAAAAAAAAAAGAACGTTAAACATAAAAAATGTCTTTAATAAATAAATTGTCGGACTTTGTCCATTTTTATATATATATATATATATATATATATATATATATATATATATATATATATATATATATATATATATATATATACCTCTCAACCACCGCTAATTCAGTCAGTTGCTGGAAGATATGGACAATCAGTTCCTCTGCTTATGTGTGAGAACAGTTATTTTCCTTCATGCGATCAACAATAACTTCTCAGACAACAAGACTAACTGATCAACATTTTTCATCTATGATCAAAATCGGAACTGCACAGACATTTCAGCTAGATATATTAATTCTCAGTAAAAAGACAACTTAGGACAAAAAAATTAAAACTGACTAAATAATAGCAAATAAATGTTCAGTTTTTAAATGTAATTTGTGCACAATGTATTTGTTGTTGTTGCAAACTGAAAGTATATGTTGTTGTTTTTTAAAATTTATTTTTTAATCAATTTACTTCATTACTTTGTATCCTGCTAAAACATTTGTCTGCCCATTGTGCGTTTCTAAATTTAAGTAACAAAATATTATGCAATAAATTTTATTAAATGACAACAGTTAGCTGTAGTGTCGCATGTGGCCCTCATGACAACACATCTGTAACGATGTATCTGTCGGGGGCCCCACAGTTTGACATGCCTGCCTTATACGATAATGTATGACCATATATTGACCGAGTTACTCAGAAAAATTATGACACTATATATATATATATATATATATATATATATATATATATATATATATATATATATATATATTAAAAAAAAAAATTATTAAAAGATTAAAATCTTCAGACACACTGGTTTGTAGATTAATATTCTTTCGCTTTTTATTATCATTTCATTTAGATTATTCGACTAGTTTCGGCCTTTTGGCCATCATCAGGAGAAGAAATATTTCTGCTTGCTGGTAGCAGTAAACTACAGAAATAAATATCTTGATGGATAAAATGAACTTTTGTGTGTAGTTTTCATTTGTTTTTGTTTTTTTTCATCTTTTTAAGATGAATTTTTTTAACATTCCTTGTGTTGGTTAAACAGTCTCTTTTAAGTTGTTATTTGAGATAAGAGCTGATGGATCTATGCTGCTCTGAATTCCCTTGGTCCGTTTGACAGTTTTATTGGTTCCTGGAGAGGGGATGTGTCTCTGTTAAGTGCGTGTGTGTGTCATTTGGTTCTTAGGGAGTGAGTGAGTATGATATGTGTAAGCGTGTATATTGCTGTGGGTGTGTGTTATCATTTGGCGCATTAGGGAGTGAGTGAGTATGATGTGTGTAAGTGTGTATATTCGTGTGGGTGTGTGTATAAGTGTGAGGCCTCAACACCTCCGTAAGCATGTCTGTCTTGTGTGGGTGAGAAATGTGTGTAGGTTTTGATTTGCAGTGTTATATATTAGTACTATCTATATTGTTAAATTTATGGTTTAGCCCGGCTGGATATTGTGTTTTTAGACGTTGCATCCACTTATTTTCATGGGACTCTAAAATATTTCTAATGTTATCTGCTCTGAACTTTTCTATTCTCTCAATTATAGTGAATTTGGCATGGGTTTTGAAATCGTGTTTTTCTAGGGGGAAATGTTGTTCTACAGGTAATAATTTTTCATGGGGAGTCGACTTAATTCAATTGCGATAATTATTAATTCTCTAGTGAAAGGGCCATTCAGATTTCCCTACATATAGTTTCTGGCATAATTTGCATTCTAGGATATATATATATATATATATATATATATATATATATATATATATATATATATATATATATATATATAAAGCGTTTACCGATGCAAGGCGGGAGGCCACTAGCACGCAAGGAGTTACAGAGAGTTGGAGCGAGAGAAAAGAGGAGTGATAGAGGAAAGGATGAAGAGAAGGATAGGAGAAAGTTCGGGGCATCTGGGGACGTCGATTGACATTACATTTAAATAGTTGGAGATTATAGTTATCGGGGAAACAAGAAATGTGTAGGGAGTCCCACAGGTGAGAAGTGCGAGTCATAAAGCGTTGGAAGTAGAAGAGACGGCTACATATAGCAGTTTCGACAGTGAATGCATACATTCAAAACTCAAGGAACTGAAGGCTAACTTGACGCAGAATTAGATTTTTTTTACGAAAATTCAGAAACTGAATGTCGCTTCCGTTTTTGCAAGTAATGAACTCAGCCGAATGACAGCCATGAGTGAGAAAGGAAGCGAAGGACATTTTGTAAAGCAATGCTTTGACATACCTAAAATTGTAAGCAAATAGTGATGCCAAGCTTTAGGACAAATAACTAAAACTGACTGAATAGTGGCAAATAAATGTTCAGTTTTTAAATCTAACTTGTGCACAATGTATTTGTTGCTGTTGCAAACTGAAAGTATATGTTGTTGTTTTTTAAAATCTATTTTTTAATCAAAGTACTTCATTACTTTGTATCCTGCTAAAACATTTGTATGCCATTGTGCGTTTCTAAATTTAAGAAAAAAAAATATTATGCAATAAATTTTATTAAATAACTCCAGTTAGTTTTAATGTGCAGAATTCGTTGTTGCATGTGAGCCTCATGACAAAGCATCTGTGACCATGTCTCTCTCAGGTATCCAAAGGTTTGAGATACCTGCCTTATACGAAAGGAAGTGAAGGACATCTCGTAAAGCAATGCCTGATTGAATAGTAGCAAATAAATATTCTGTTTTGAACTGTTTTGTCCAATGTATTTGTTGCTATTGCAACTGCAAATATATGAATTTTTTTTTAATTTTTAATCAACCTACTTCATTACTTTGTATACATCAATCTTGCTATATATTTGTATATTATCATATATTCCTGTAATTAAGTTAAAGAAATATTCTGCAATAAATTTTATTAAATGACTCCAATTATCTGTCTATATTTATAAGATGAGGTATTATGTACAGTATTTACATTATTCAGGCTATTGCCTCAACTTGTCGCCATATTCATACACAGATGTCCTCAAGGTCACAGTGGATTAGGGCGTTAGTTAAATCCACTGACAGAACCCAAAGAGAGTGTGTTCAATATCTGGTTAAGGCGGTGGAGAACTTGGAGAGGGAAGTAACAGTCTACCCGAGTGAGCGAAATAAAGGGTTTAGTTCGACATTCCAACCACCTGAAGAAGGCCGGAGCGTAAAACGTCTGAAACGTTGTAATAAATATGGCAACAAAGCTGAGGACAATAGTCCGAATAATGTAAATAGTGACTCCAATTAGTTGTAATGTGCACAATTGGTTCTCGCGTGTTAGTTTTCATGTCAACACATATGTGATCATGTTGCCCTCAGTGGGCATTCAGTTTGACATACCTGGTTTAGGAAAAAAGGATTTTATTTGCAAAGCGTTTTGCTCTAAGGTTTACATTTTGTATAATGATGTCATCGTACCTACTTCTATTCAAGCTGCCTCCGGATGTCAACGATTGCTCTTAAATTATCGAGAAACAAGAGGCCAATGCAAATGCTGATTGGTGGCAGCAAGAAAATTACCATTTTTGTTGTTTGTTTTAAATTGTAGGACATTTTTTGAGATAATGATGTTTTCCTGATTAATCCTACTAATTAACCCATAGCTGGCGGGAGAAGAGTGGAATTAGCACCTTTCCTTTTGCGCGTAAATGAATATAATATTTTTGGTTTAATTAGTTAGATCACTATTATCATTGTAATTTTTTTTTTAATAATGTTGATATGCTGATAAATCCTACTAATTAATGACCTGTTGGCTGGGGATTCAGAATACGCTGGCTGCACATCTGCAGAGGTGTACCCTCTTCCCCACCTCAAATGAGGAGTCTTGGGTAAGAGGATAAACTAGCAAAGCTTCTGATCAGGAGGTCTTAATTGCTGGTCTTGCCAGGTTCAACCTACGCCGGGGTGGTAGCCCAGCTTAGAAACCCAGCAATGGGAAAATAGTTAACCTTAAACTGTCGTCAAAACGGAATGGTAGTGTAAAAAAACGGTTTTAATATTTTTCTAATTTTTTAGTATCTGCCTATGAGATGAGATGAGGTATTATGTAAACTATTTACTCGAGGACACATGGCACAGTGGATAAAGACATTGGTGAGATCCAGTGACAGGATTCAAAGTGTGTGAGTTCAAACTACCTGGTTAAGGCGGTGGAGAACTTGGAGAGAGGAATTAACAGGAGATAACTGATAATTGCCATCCATTAGACATGACACGTGGAACTAGAACAGTCTACGCCAGTGAGAGAAATAAAGGGTTCAGTTCGAATTTTTGAAGAAAAAAATTATTACCAACAACACATTATTACTAGAAATACATTTTTGAAAAAAAAAATTACCAGCAATAAAAATCTTGTCAGTATTAAATAACCCATAGAGGTTGATATACCGTAAAACAAAACAAACAAAACCAAACATACTAATTAACCCATAGCTGGTGGGAGAAGTGTTATTTACGCTTAACTGAATATAACAGCTTTGGGTTAATTAGTGTGATCACTATTATCATTATATTTTTTTGTGATTATGTTGAATTAATGATAAATCCTACTAATTAGCCCATAGCTGGTGAGAGAAGAATTATTTACGCTTAACTGAATATAACAACTTTGGGTTAATTAGTTTGATCACTATTATAATTATTAAAAAAAAAATCTTACAACTGAAAAAAAATTTCTGGCTTCAAATGTCTTGCAAATGTTTGATAAGGCGGAGAAAACAAATCAAATTAACAATCGGGGCATTACGACAATAGAAATCCTCACAGGCAACCCCACATTTTGGGGCTTATGCCATACTAAGGATGACGCAGCATGTGACTTATTAAAGAAATTTCTATGCCCATGATCTTAATGTCTTGGGCACAACTAGTTGTAATAAATATCCAAGAATAGTCATTTGAATAATAGCTTTTAAGCAATCACACAGAGAAACCGACCTCTGTTTATATTTGGAGACAGAAAAAATAGGGAATTTTGCTTCTTGTTAAAAATACCATCAGAGTATTATATCCCGCACCATTAAAGATTAGTTCGTGCAACGAACAGCGAAGACAATTGCAAAGTCCGATGCAATTATTGTACATTAAGTTAATTGTGATAATTGATTTGGCACCAAATATTAGTTTAATAAATGAGAGATTCATTTGTGATCGCATGAAAAATAGGGTAGAGCGAGAGAGCAAAGCAAGTATTTATGGTGTGATCACCGGAAAAATGAATTTTATTTGCAATGCTTATCGCTAAAGGTTTGCTGTTTGTATGATGTTGCCGTTATCGTCCATACTTCAGTTCGCGCTGCCTACGGATATCAAAGATTGCTCTTATCGAGAAGTACGAGGACAATGCAAATGTTTATTGGTGAAGCAAGAAAATGGCATTTTTGTTGTCGTTGTTCTCTTCACCTTCATTGAAAGCTGACTGGAAAAAGTGACAATGGTTATAACAGCCTGATTAAGGGCAATGAGTGACAAGTCTTATTTGTTGTTCACTCAGTCATTTACTCTCTGCAATTGGCTTCATATTTTTGTTATGATATTTCCTTATAGAGATACTCTCTCTATACAAGACATGAAAGCCGCTCAAGGTAGAGGGTTACTGAATTATCTTAATTCATTATTGTTTTCAGGATGTTAATATTGTAGAGATCGTAGAATAATAGCTTCTTAAGTAACAGTTCCTGTTGGGAAAAACCGTTTTAGTTGGTGTATGAAAAGAATGGAGAGATTTTGAACCTGTGTCCGTGGATTCGCAAGTCTTAGCTTTAAATGCTTGAATCTTTAGAACTAGGAAATATAGTTTCTCTGAACATTTGCCATAAAAATAGCGATAGATTACCGATAGGCTTGTGTCTGTGAGAAAGTGTCTGTAGAGTTGAGTTTAATACATCAGCCACAAGACTATGTAAACGCTTTTGAACCCTGTCAAGAATGGAAAATGTGAAGTGGTCATTTTCAGCTTTGATCTGTCAGAAATGCATCAAGTGTGGTCTGATCTGTCTGTTTTCAACACAGAGAAAGATAGAGTCACACTTACTTTCAAAGATCCGACAAATTTTCCAGAATTTTTGTAATGGGCGCGATGAGTAAATTGTCGCCAATCTATATTTTTAATTTCGCCCATGTGCGGTGTTTGTTTTTTATTTTGTCGACTGCATAGTATTGTAGGTTTAGTTGGGCAACATCTGTGAGAAAAAGAGCACCATGTCCTAATTCACTGTGTCAGAAATTTGGAAACATCATGCTCCACTGCATGGCATTTGCACCGGAAGCTTCAATACAAACATTTCAGAGTGTTTGCGTGTCAATCTGAAGCCATACCAAAGGATTTAGAAAGTGCTAGTGAGTTGTGCTTCTCTTAAATAATAGTTTTGCAGCCTATTATTTTTTAGTGGAGAAGTGTATCTCGGCTCCGAGTTCTGGAGGTTGATATTCAGGCTCAGATATGAGCCGTGATAGAGAAATCGATGTCGATTGGCTGAGCTAGCCTGGGAAAGATAAATACGGAAAAGCTTTGAAATATTGCTTCTCATTTGTCAAGTGATGTAAACGTGTTATCTTTCGTGTCCGAAACGGCTCCTGAGTGAAAGGTGGGACCCACCGGATAGTTAGATAATGTACATGTCTACATGAGTAATAAAAATAAAGTTAAAATTCTCTGTATTGTAAGTTTTTCTTGGCTGAACAAAAACAATTCGCGATCGCCGGTCGAGAGAAGATGAGGCCACCCCCACCAGGGGACTATGCAATACTACTCTGGGTCAAAAGGGTTGCTGCTGGAAGATCCTATGTCTGGCAACAGGATACTGCACAAGATAGGAGAACCCAGTCATCGCTATCAGACAATTTCTCTGACCACATTACCCCTTACATGTAGCCACCTAACTCCCCAGATTGCACCCACTTGATTATTATGTGCGGGGAGCAAATGACACCAAAGATGAACTGAAGGCAAGGATATGGCAGCATTCACCAACTTCAAAATGGCGACCATCCAGAAGAAATGCACAGATTCCGAAGTCGTTTGGAGGCCGTGGTTGAAGCCAGTAGCGATTTCATTCAATAAATTTACTCTTTAGTATATGAAGATATTTTTGTGTAATTATGAGAAATATATCTGTTAAAATGAGATGTCAGTTTTTATTTGAGTTTTTGCCTGAATTAGACGATATTGTTAAATATAACAGACAATGAATATCTATTATGATAGATCATGAGCCGTTCTAAGTATATTTGCTTTAATTTCAGGTAAAGACAATATGTAATATACGTAGATGACATTTTCGTTTTAGCTAAAAATATTGACCAAATTACATAACTTAAAAACAAATTTTAAAGTCACCCCGTCCTCAAATTTCCATTAGAACGCAATATTATAATTAAAATTCTATTCTTTCATGTATTTATTGATTCCAACATACATAAATTTCCTACTTGTCTATGTAGAAAACCCACAAGCATTAACTCGTGTCTTCTTAATTATAATAGAGAATGCCACCCAACGATATAAGTTAACCGTTATGACAAAAAATGAATCCAACGCAAATGATATCTTCTTCCAAAATCATATTCTATTACATTTATTATTATTATTATTATTATTATTATTATTATTATTATTACATAGCATTAAATAAACACTCATTAATAATGGATTCCCTAATTCGTCATTGATCAACAAATGAAAATGTATCTCAATAAACTATAAATACTTCTAACAAAATTGATACTATTATTAATAATAGTTTACGTCAAAATAAACATAACGCTATTGTAATCAAAAGCTTAACAATTAGAAACATGATGAAACAACACTCAGAAACATAATAGGTAGAAATTTTAAATCCATTAATAATAATAAACAAGTTAAGCTCAGTTAAGCTAAAATATTTTTAAAAAATGACCTCATAGTCTCAAATAACGCTACAACCGCACAACTAAATCCTCTACAAAAAACCAATGTAGTGTATCAATTTACATGCTCGTTAAGAGATTGTATCTCTGATACTAATAATAAACCTACTACATATATTGGTTTTACTACAACCTCGCTCTCCCATAGACTTACCTCTCACTTTTCTGATCTTAGTTCTATTAAACAACATTTCTTTGTACATGATATTAGACAGATATTAGTTGATAACACAACAATACTCGCACATACCCACAGTAAAAAGAATCTTCAGATATTGGAGGCCATCTACATTAAAACAAAGCAACCCACACTCAACAAAATCTAATTTCAAACTAGTCACGACACATTGCATTGCATCGAGACATATGGCTCTGTTGTTAATATTTCGTTCTCTAAGATGGTACGACGATATAGAACCACATCACGAATTTGCGACCTCTATTTCCTATTCCGCAGCCGTTATCTTCGCATAGCAATCTTCTTTGTCAACATAATAGAATATCATTTTTGATGGTCAATATCTTTGTTTAAATGTCTATATAACCAAAGCAAAGATGGCTCATGTATGTCTAAAGCTAAGATCAAGGCAGAGCTTAATAAAAAATATTCAAATGTTGGACAATTTTATCTTTATTTCCACTCGAAATTCAAGTAAATATACGAAGTTTAGAACCGCTCGTGATCAGAAATAATAGACATTCATTTTCTGTTATATTAACTATATATGTTTATATAATGATATGCTGCCCCATATATATATATATATATATATATATATATATATATATATATATATATATATATATATCAGGGCCACAGGATGTTTGATGCTGGATGCAATCGTCAGGCTGCGAGTGTTGGATTTTTTTTGATTGCGTCCACCATAAAAAAGTCTGTCGCCTCTGAGTGTTGACTTCAATGTCCACTTTTAATTATATATATATAATGTGTGTGTATTTGTGTGTGTGAGCGTGCGTGCCTGTATGTATGTTTGTATCCATGAACGTATATTGGAATATATTCATATTCAAATATATGGATATGGGGCATGATTAAATGTTCATGGCCCGATGCAACTCCGAAAATCAATATTCTGGTGTTTGGTCATGTAAGGATCTTTGTATATAGTTTCATCTGTCTTTATGCGCATGCGTGTATATGTGTCTGCGCGTGTGCCCTTGTGTGTCCGTGTGTCGAAAGTATTAAATAGACAATGACTAATTTGACTAAATTTTAAATTTTACTCATTTATTTTTGGGGGAAATGAAGTGTTAATAATGAAATTATCCTGCAATTTAGAACAGTATAATTTAAATCTACTGGTTGCGTCAAATCTGCGCTCCAGTCAGTTTATTCTGACGATTCATCATATATATATATATATATATATATATATATATATATATATATATATATATATATATATATAATATATATAAAAAAATTATACACGTCCGGAAAACCTCGGTGTCTTGATTTGCGAATAATCAAACCGATACCAAAGGAAAAAACGTATTAAAAAGAAAAAACCAAGAACAGCCTTCCCTGACGATCCGATTTAAAATTAGGTTTGTCTGGATCTATAGGGTTTAACTATATATATATATATATATATATATATATATATATATATATATACATCATTCACAAAAACAATTCAAATTAATGATTTAAATGGCGAGACATCCATCATCTCCAAACAATTCAAATCAGAAACCTCCAGATCCGTTATGATGAATTGATCCTTGTTTATATAAATTTCTGCCGTATTAGTTGTTATTTTTTACTACAAGCTTTCGTCTGTTCCTACAGACATCTTCAGGTATAGAATAGATGTTGTTTTTTTGTTTTTTTCTCTTAGTAATAAGAGGACAACGAAAATATATGTGTTGTTGTATACCTGAAGATGTCTGTAGGAACAGACGAAAGTTTGTAGTAAAAATAACAACTAATACGGCAGAAATTTATATAAACAAGGATCAATTCATTCATAACGGATCTGGAGGTTTTTGTATACTATTTGAATTGTTTGCGATGATGGATGTCTCGCCATTTAAATCATTAACCTTTGCATTTGTTTTGTGTGAATAATTCATGTATTTGTAAATTGATTGCACATTTATTGTAATATATATATATATATATATATATATATATATATAGTTTTAAGCTGTACTCTATTTATGAGATAAAGTACTCGATATCTGGGAGAGAGCATATGTAAATATAAAAATGAACATTGAGGTCAACACCAGCTGGAAACAATCTGGTTATTACTTAAGCGCAATCCCCTGACAATATATAATGTGTTTTGGCTCGACTATTCATATATGCTGGTCAGTGGTAAGTCTATTGCGTTATTGTAACGGTTATTTTCCGGGCGGTAACGGTTATGTTTCAAATCATTTTAGGGGATATGGAGTGGAAATAAATGCAGATCCGACGCCAGTTTTGTGATTATTTTTGAGTATTGTTAACATGTTTACTTATTATTGATTAATTTATTATATAATGATGATTGTTCTTATTACGCTTACTTATGCTAAGCTTAACTAAATCTAACATAAAGATCTGTTATACTTATCTATCTATCTATCTATCTATCTATCTATCTATCTATCTAAGTCTTTACATTATCTATCTAATTCTTTTCATTATCTATCAATCCATCTATCTATCTATATAAGTCTCTTCCTTATCTATCTATCTATCCATCTATCCCCATCCTTCCATCTATCTATCTATCTATCTATCTATCTATCTATCTATCTATCTATCTATCTATCTATCTATCTATCTAAGTCTCTTCATTATCTATCTATCTATCTATCTAAGTGTTGTGAGACCGTAACATACCTACAACATGGACTCTTCCAGGACTATATAAAGTATGTGATATAACACTCTAGGAGAAGAGGAGGAAAGAGAGAGAGAGTGTGTTCTAATACCGTAGTATCAGCTGCGTACGACTACCAATATTGGACACTAGCACATAGTAAGCTCTCCTTATACTTACACAATCTTTGTAACCTTTTTGTTTAATATATCTTTCTTACATCTAATCCGTGCTTTCCTTTCGTGGTCCCAACTTTGGGTCCACATCACTAAGTCTTTACATTATCTATCTAATTTTCATTATATATCTATCTTCATAAGTCTCTTCATTATCTATCTATCTATCTATCTATCTATCTATGTTTCTATCTATCTAAGTCTCTTCATTATCTATCTATCTTCATTATCTATCTATCTATCTATCTAAGTCTCTTCATTACTATCTTATCTATCTATTACTCCTCATTAGCATCTATCTATCTATCTATCTATCTATCTATCTATCTATCTATCTAAGTCTCTTCATTATCTATCTATCTATCTATCTATCTATCTATCTATCTATCTATCTATCGATCTAAGTCTCTTCATTATCTATCTATCTATCTATCTATCTATCTATCTATCTATCTCTGTTTCTATCTATCTGTCTCTTCGTTATCTATCTATCTATCTATCTATCTATCTAAGTCTCTTCATTAGCTATCTATCTATCTATCTATCTATCTATCTCTGTTTCTATAAATCTGTCTCTTCGTTATCTATCTATCTATCTATCTATCTATCTATCTATCTATCTATCTTTATCGTCCGAAAGCTATTTGATCTTTCATCTGCTTCCAATTTAATTTCTGTGCGTTATTTCTAACAATCACGAACGCAATTCTACTTGTCTCTCATCTTTTCCCAATTCTCAGCGGGAAGCGAAAAGCTTTTTATTTTGGCTCGTTCTTTTGCACAATCTCGTTTGTTCAGATGCCGCCGATCCGATCTTATCGAATGGTGAATGGACTCGGCATTATTAACCCTTATCCCTTGCTTATCGATCTGTTTTCCTCTCCCAGCCTCGGAAATCGTGTGCCTTTATAACGTAAGAATTTACTTCGTGATTTCTTCTTCTTCTTCTTCTTCTTGCTCTTTTTTACTTTCTTTACCTGCGAGTGGTATTCATTCGCGGCAGATCTTAAACAAATAGGAATCAGTAGAATGGTAGGAAAGGTCATCGTTTGCAGAAGAAAAGTTTTCATGGTCTCAACCAACTTTGATGCGGGTCCACACTCAAGGGGCGCCTACTGTTGAATAAAGTGACTAACAATTTCACGATCTGATTAAATGATTTCAGGTATATTTTAGATGTTTGGCACAAAATTACTTCTGGAACAAGGCCACATTTATAGGGCAACCAAGAGTCAATACTATATACCTTGTCAACAGCTTTGGAAAATGGCGTACCCACAACCACTTAACAAAATTATGGTTGCTCTGTTGTTTATATATATATATATATATATATATATATATATGAACAAAAATATACGGAAAAACAAACAAAAATCCTAATATGCAATTATGCTGTTTCAATGTTAATATGATGTCAACGTCGGATGTTTCGGTCTTGTAGACCATCTTCAGGACATATTCATAAAACATAATTAACATTAGACTATATTCAATTCAACATGAAAAGACGATGGACCGTATAAGCTTGAAGTCTTCCATGTTATAAAGTAAATTCAGGTTTGTATTTCAAGCTAATACGGCCCATCGTCTTTTCATGTTGAATTGAATATAGTCTAATGCTAATCGTGTTTTTGAATATGTCCTGAAGAAGGTCTACTAGACCGAAACGTCCGATGTTGACATTATATTAACATTAAAACAGCATAATTGCATATTAGGATTTCTGTTTGTTTTTTCCGTATTTTTTCTTCATAGTCGGATCTATATCCATATATTTGTTTATATATATATATATATATATATATATATATATATATATATATATATATATATATATATATATGAATGGGTAAATTGTCGCCATTTTTATATTTTTAATTTCGTACATGCCTGTTTTTTTGTTTTTATTTTGTCGATTGTAAAGTAGGGTCTGTTGGGCATCGTCTGTGAGAAAAAAGAGCACCGTGTTGCAATTCGCTGTGCCAGAAATTTGGAAACGGCATGCTGTACTGCTTGGCGTTCAAGCCGGAATCGCCAATGGACATTTCAGAGTGTTTGCGTTTCAATCTGAGGTCCGTGCGGAGGATTTGATAAGAGTTGGATGATTCTAGGGGTAATTATGAAGGTGCGTAGATCTAAAAATCTCACTCTAATCGTTCTGATAAGAAAAGAACACTCGAATTTGTTGATGGAGGACTCAAATTCCACACATCATGTGTCTTAAGAAGGTACTACTGCCCAGGATCAAGAGAGTGGCTGCTGGAAGATCTGGCAACAGGATTCTGCTCCATGCGAAAAAAGCAGAAGAATCCATTGATTACTTAATATGAAATAACAAAGGTAGTTGAGGGTTTGAAAAATATATTTGTCTTCGTCGAGTCATTATTCTCATATGTGGATTTTAGAAGCGCCTAAATTTCAACTCGAACTATATATATATATATATATATATATATATATATAGTGTAACCCGGATATAAGAGACCCGGATATAAGAGAATCCCGGATATAAGAGAGATGTTCTCTGGTCCCAAATTAGAGCCTGTGTTAATGTATATAAAATAGACCAAACCCGTATATGTGAGAAACCCGGATATAAGAAACTTCTTCTCCGGTCCCGACAAGTCTCTTATATCCGGGTTACACTGTATATACATATATATATGTGTGTATATATATATATATATATATATATATATATACACTGCTTACCGATATATATATATATATATATATATATATATATATATATATATATATATATATATATATATATATATATATATATATATATATATATATATACACACACACACATATATATATATATATATATATATATGTATGTATACAAACACAAATGGGTAGGATGAAAAAGGTCTGCTGCGATGAAAGTCAGGTCATTTTGAGTTACTAGACAGTTTTTATCTCCATAAACTATTTTGTATTTTTAGGAATCTATCTCTCGTGTATGTTGCGTATACTCTGGCACTTTTTAGTATTTAAAGATTCTTGATAAAAATCCCAAAGCTATCAGCAATATTATTTGTCTTGATATATATATATATATATATATATATATATATATATATATATATATATATATATAGAGAGAGAGAGAGAGAGAGAGAGAGAGAGAGATCAGACTGGATGCACGTCTTTTCCCACTTAGGTCCAACATAGGAAAAGACCTACTTCCTCAACGGACAGTGACTGACATAAAAGCTAAGTTTTTATAAAAATTAAAAAGAAAAAAACAATAAGCACATTCATACACATTCGCTGGTCGTAGGAATTATGATCAGAAACGTTTTTTGTTTATTTTCTTCCCCACTACATTTTATTCTTAATTTTTGTTTTTATTTTTTCCTCTTCTCCTTTCCTGGACTGGAGAAAAGTACTAGAAACACAAAGACATGGAAATGTTTTTTTTTTTTTAAAAAAAAAAAAGCCCTCCCCTCAGACAGCGAAATTAGTCATCACTCTACATATTTTTATTTTCCACTCCTTTCCACCTCCCCGTCTCTTTCTGTCTCTCTCTCACTCTTTATATATATATATATATATATATATATATATATATATATATATATATACATATGCGCGTATGTGTGTATATATATATATATATTTTATATATTTATATTGACTTCAGTCATTTTCTCAACACTGTAATGTATATTGTCTATGGCTTTTCTAAAAAAAGTTCTTGGTACTTGTTCAGTTTAACTCTTCAATAAGGTTTTAAGCCCAATACTTGATTGTAGGTAAGGTGTCATCAGTTCACAGTTAAATTGGCTAGATGTAAACGTAAGTTCTATGCTAACAGCATCTTTGCTCACACGTCTCAGTTGTGGAACTCTTTTCTGGCCTCGGGCTTTCCAAACAAATTTGATCTTCCAGAATTTAATTTTTCATCATAATAACAAAATAAAATCCGGAATAATTATCGGATTCTACCTAAGAGCACTAAGAATATACATCCCGAATTATTTACACCTGCGCGTGTTTAGTCCTACAATAACATAAGAAATTTAGCCCCATTAAATCCTGAAGTACGTCAAGAGTAAACTTTATCCAATTTGTCATACAATGTCTCGAATACTGTTCTTGATATATAAAAACATATATCGTTATCTCATATATATATATATATATATATATATATATATATAAGTGTGTGCGTGTCTGTGTGTGTCTGTGTCTGTGTATCTGTGTGTCAGTGTGTGTCTCTGTGTCTGTTTACCTGTGTGTCAGTGTGTGTCTCTGTATCTGTGAGTATGTGATTGTGTGTATGTGATTTTGTGTATGTGTGTGCGCACGCGCGCCTGTGTGTGGGGGGTGTGATGCACGGAGATAGATAAATAGATATAGGTGACTGGAGATAGAAGTTAACAGATAGATATGAAGAGAGATAGGTGGACGTGAACAGACCGAGATAGATAGATAGATAGATAGATAGATAGATAGATAGATAGATAGATAGATAGATGTGCAGATAAATTCTCTATGAATTTTGACGCTGTTTAAAATAGATCAATTCACAGGTTCCACTAGAATAAATTTTCAAACGTGAAATATCTAACGAACTCCGCATAGATCGATTTCCCGCGAGTTTTTGACATTATATTAGCCTCTTTCTCATTAATTTTATCAATATGGCAACAATGCTTCCAGTCAAACATTCTTCCTCGATTATTAAGTTCCTACAGTGTTTTGTCAAGACGCAATAAGACCGTTCCAGGCGGTCAAGTAATTATGAAAACTTTTTCCTCCTCCCTACCCACACTCTATAATTATTTTTCTTCTCCGGTAAAGTAATATTTCTAATTGTTAATCTATTTCAGTATCGTCTTCTGGTCGGATGAAATATCAAAAATACAACCAACATCTTCTAGAATCTGTTGTTGTTATTTCGGATATGGTTTAATGAATTCACTTCGTGGAATTCCATAGACTTTAAAGTTAAAAGAATTGGTAGGATAAACAGGAAACATTGGACGTTCATTGCCTGAACTGTTAGCGTTATTACTGGTTAGAATTTATAAAATATTTCCTTTAAAAAATATTTCTTTTCAGGAAAATACGTTTCTCAGCTCTCATCGTCCTTTCAAGTATTGATGGAAGTTTTCCTTCCAGTCCTTTCTGTTTATGACATCGTTGAATGTCAGTATTTTCGATTATATCATTTTAGCTATTAGTTCCATTTGATATACATTTTTTTTTTTTTTCGCTGTTGAAAGACTTCAAGTGATGCTGTTTTTGATATTTGGTTAAGCTCTTTGTAATTTTATTGCAAGACTAGATATGATGAATGAATAAAAAATAATTAAAGAATATTGAATATTAATAAACACTTCAAATACTTTGGTGCATGTATTTTTACAGGAAGTAAGGAAAAATGTAATAGGAATCTTTCCAGTGGGGTTTTCTTCAAAATCTTCAGACGTTACCAAACAAAAGTATTAAACTGTGAACTTGAGTCATGTACTTAAATATCCTTGTTATCTTCTTCATGAGCTGAAGATATTTTTATTTTTAACCTGCGAAAACGACAGTTTTAGATGAGATATTTCTGTCCAAGTTTGATTCCATATATGATAGACATATGCAAGACAAGATATGACGCGGATATTTTTCATTCAAATAATTTACAATTCGAATAAATATTTTTCGAATAATTATTTT